CCCTGGTACCCAGCACTGAGCACTGAGCTGCCCTGGTGCCCAGCACTGAGCTGCCCTGGTACCCAGCACAGGGCACTGAGCTGCCCTGGTACCCAGCACTGAGCTGCCCTGGTACCCAGCACAGGGCACTGAGCTGCCCTGGTGCCCAGCACTGAGCACTGAGCTGTCCTGGTACCCAGCACTGAGCTGCCCTGACCAACATTCCTGGCTCCAGGATCACCAGGGGACCTGAGGGGCTCCAGCCAGAGGGGACACGTGGGACACTGCTGTTCCCTCAGAGGGAGGGCACAAACTGCCTCAGCCACATTAATGACCAATAAAGAAATCTCCAAATATTACAGGAAACAGCAGGGATGTTCCTGCTGTGCTCATCCCACCTTTTGCTCCCTTCTTTCCCAAAACCCCCACTGTGGGGTTCCCAGAGGAAGCTGCTGTGCTCTTTGTGCCCTCCAGACCATCTCCAAGCACTGATTGCAGACACTCAGCTCATCCTGATCTGCAGGAGGAACTGAGTAATCAGGACATCTGCACATTTGTACACAATCTTTAGGGGGAAATCCCTTGCAGGCATATTTTAACTCCAGCTCCTGCTTTGGAGGACTGAGTCTGGTCTTCTGCTCAGCTCTGAAACTCCTCTGAACGTGCTTTCCTCAGCAATGCAGTGAACCCCAGGTACTGCTTGTACAACATTCATCCATTTCCCAGCACAACATCTCTGCAGCACTCCAAGGCCCTTGCAGGGGAGCAGGCTGAATGCTTCCCAAGGGGTTCCCCTCCCCTTTAATGACATCTGCAGTGATCTCAGCACAGCCGCACCTCCACTAAATCCTCCCTGCAGTCCCCACCGAGGCACTGTGGAATGCTGAGATGGTGGTGCAAGAGACAGAAGACACCACTCATACACATGCAGAAAGTAATAATAAAAGCCCATCAAGAATGAGAGTTTATTTCAGGTTCAGAAATGCAGCATAACATTTTTACAGCAGGTGTATGTGATGCTCAGTGATGACCGCGGTTTCGGGAATCCACTCGCTGTGCTCAAAAGTCAACACCAGGAACCATTTACAGATTACGAAACCAAAGGCAGATGTTTTGGCTCACATCAAGTAGGGCATTAACATACAGAGCAAAAAAAAAAAAAAAAATTCAGAAAGGAATTAAGCGTTTGCTTCTTACAAAAAAGAAGTCATCGTTTAGCCTGTCCTGGTAAAGTAAAGAGACAGCAGTAAAGCAAACGGCCGGCAAGGCGGGACAAATCATAGATCAAGCAAGAGTGGAGGGCTGTCGGGACGGGAGGAGGAGCCGTCGGCATCAGCTCGCCTGCAGACAAAGCAAGAGGAAAGACAGGCAGAGTAACATTCATTTACACAAGGGAGCTGCTCTGCACCAGCCTGGGAGCCGGGGCAGGGCCACAGCAGGAGCAGCTGTGCCAGGAGGGCACCGGGAGGCTCCCAGCTGGCACAGGCACAAAGCAGGGCTGCTCTCAGGTCGGAAGGCTTGGGCTATTTAAGACAGAAGGACAGAACTAGTCAGGAATGTCAATATGCTGTACACATCATGGTTAGTGGAGCTCTCTGGAACAGGGAGGATAATATTTTCTATGTTATACTTGAACACGAAATGCCATAACCTATAATGTATCTTCTTTAATATAATAAATAATCTACTTTTAGGAGACTTACTCAGAAAGTGCAACAAGATCAGCAATAAAATAAACACACATTAACTATGTACATAAGCCTTTTTGTTGAACATACAATCTTTTTAACCCTAGCACAAGATCCCTTGAGATGCCAGGCCCAGAGCTGTTCACAGCACACACAAGCTCTTTTGGTCAGCCACAGCGGGGTGAGGTGGAAATGTTCCCTGGGCAGAGATCCAGGCTCAGCCTAAATGCAGTATTAGATGAGCACCCTCCTGAAACTCAGCAACTACACCACCCAGATCTTTGTGCACCTCACCTAAGAGCAGAAACTCTGGTGTTGCTTCATTATTGCTCCACTGTGCCCTGGCAAGCAGAGCTGTACCAGAGGGAAGCAGAGAGGGGCAGAGCAACCTGTGCCCCACAGACACGGAGCTCAGGCCTGGCTCATCCCACCTGAGTGCTCTGCAGAGGTGCCCAGTCCCTCTGGCAGACCCACAGGGAGCTTGTCCTGCTTTCCTTTGGGCATGGAGTCAGTTGCTGCCAAGGCTGCTCCTCCAAGAACAAGGGACAGGACGGATAGGACAGCCAGCATCAGGAGCAAGTGGGACAAACAAACCCATTCCAGGCACTCCAGAGCAGAAGGAAGTGGGCCAAGGCTGCAGGACAGAACTTACTCAACTGGATGTGGCAATTTCTTGGGCAGCATTCAAGTGGTTTTCCTAGAAACAAGTTTCTGTGGTTTATTCTCACAAGCACATACGCAAGAAGAGGTGAAATCATCAACCCCTGGATTTGTGCTTATGGTTTTTTATTAACCTGCACCCCTAAAAGTGTTGCATTTAGGGCCCAGGGCCAGATTTGGATGAGATCTCAATGAGGATGCAGAGGAAGGAGGGCTGTGCAGCTGTGTCCTGCACCCTCAGCATCAAGCACAGGACCAGACGGTGCTGATGCCTCACTGCCTCCTCCTCCTCTTTCGGGTAAATCCACCCTTGAGAGCTTTATTTACAATTCAGGAGTACTGCTGAGAAATAGTTCCCTGGGGGCAGAGAAAAGGACAGTGCTCAGTTGTGCCACCTCTTTCCTTATGATTGGCAGAAAGAGTCATTAAAGTAAATCAGGGAGTCTCAAGAAAGGAGCATTTAAAAGCACATTTTAGGCCAGGAGCTGTGCCATGTAATTGAGGCTCCTGAATTACCAGCATTGCCTTGTGTCCCCTGCAGCCACCCTGGCCTGAATCCCCTCCTGGGGGTCATGCTCATCAAAGGACAAAGGACAGCTAAGCTGAGTCCTTGGGCTGTGGGACAAACCCAGACTGTGGCCTTGCAGTGTCCTGGAGTGGGTTGGGTTGGTCCCTGCTCATGGATGGTGCCATGAGCAGAGACACCTTGTGAGTATCAAAAATTGATATTCTGATATCAGAAGTGATATCAGTGATCTCTGTGGCTCAGGCATTTAACCTGGCTTCCCATCAGCAGGCAGCTGCCAGTCAGTAGCAGAGTTCTGTTTAACTGTTTAGAAATACAGGAGTGCTGGCAATGCAACAATATGGGCTACTGTGGCTATTCACAAAAATGTATCCAACAGATGCAGCACAGCTTACAGCAGACAGCACTGAGCAGTGGAAAGCTGTGTAGAAGACAAGAAGAATCATCAAAATATGTTTTCTTTTTTGTAGTAAAAATTAGTATGACTGTGGGGGTTGTGTTTTCAACCTTGAAAGCTGATTCTGTGCATTGGCACTGGAGATGTGGACCTGTTCCCCAAACAAACAGCAGCATCTGCTGAGATCACCAGGATGCCAGGGCTTGACAAACTCCATCTCCACCGTGCCTCACATGTGACCTCCAGACTCCCCAGGAGTGTGGCACCAGTATGGGGTTGGCAGGAAATGGAAGTTAAACTAATACACAAATCATGATGCTGTCCCAAACTCGTCTCTCCTCTGCAGGCTGGAACATGATTTGCTGCACTGGTGAGCACAGCTAATCAGCAGCCTGGGAATTAACAGAGTAAATCCCCATTTGTTGTGGCTCTTGGATTGGATTCTTCCTAACCATGGGGCTACAGCATACTGGAGCCCTACAAGCAGTCTCAATAAATACATTTATTAGACTGATTGTACTGGGGCCTTTTGAAACCACCAATTGCTTTGCCAAGGGATCTGTAACCATAATTTTAATAGCAGCAATTCATATTTTCTAAAGGAACGAGGCCAAATTCCTCTCTAGTTTCATTGTGTTAACTCAGTAAGTTCTAAGCTTTAAGGGTGACACTGACCCTAAGTGTTTAAAGTGAAGTAATGCAGTTAAGACAAAAGGTTTTTATAATGCATTAATTTATAACGTGCAAAACAAGAGGCAGAGGGCATCTCTGCAAGTGAGCAGCTGCTAAAATAATCCAGGATGCACAGCTGAGCACTTCCCAGAACTTAGCTGGATAAAGCAACAGTAAACCAAGGTGTGTGCAAGGACCATGTAATGCAAAAAGAAAATCTTTACACAGAGGACACAGGGAAACTTTATTGACTGGCATGTGAAAATATCACAAATATCCCACATCCAAAGCCTTGGGAAGCTCAGCTGCCAGTCCAGGCTGGAGCTCCCACGGTGGGCACAGGAGGGGGACCCAGCCCAGCTGTGCATGTGTGTGTGTGTGTCTCTGTGTCCTTCTGGTCACAAAGGGACCAAAAGCAGTGCTCAGTTCCCTGGGTCCTGCACACAGCCCATCTCCATGCCCTCACTGCCCTGCAGTGCTTCCCAGGAGCACAGTGGGAGCAGGGGCAGAGGGAGCTGCTGTGTCACACCCCAGCCCTCCCAACCACCCTGTCCCCTCCTGGCTGTGGGGTGGGACAGCTCCCTGTGAGCTGGGGCAGCCCAGCCTGCTCCTCACCAACCCAACCAACCTGGCATGGCAGCTGCCAGGATGGGCATACAGCAAAACATGCCTTGTCCCATGCACACCCTGCTTGTTTAACAACATTCCTTAAAACTAAAATTTGGATAAGGACAGTTTACAGGAGAAGCAAGCCTCTTACAAGAGAGACCTGCAAGTGTGGGACCTTCAGAAGAGCTTGGTAAGAAACCACATGGCTTTTCTTTGCCCAGTTCAGCCATTACAAGAGAAAACAGAAAACCTAGAAGGTATAAATAAAAGCAAGATTCCTTTCAGGTAAGGGAGAAAAAAAGCAGCAGATAAATCAACACATGCACAAAGACACACAGAGTCAAGCCCTCCAGCTGCTGTGGAGGACTGTGAGCACAGTTGTCTGGGTGGAGATATGTGTCAGTAAGTTAGATAACATCAGTTATTGCAGAAGGAAAAGTCAAGGCAGCACAGACCTTCCCCAAACATTGAAGACCTCATAAACAATGCAGAATGGACAGAGAATATCAGTAAAATTGGTTACTTGCCTAGAGATGTCCATACATGCGACTATACACTGGTTATTGTGACAGTTACCAAGCAATTTGTTTCCACATATTTGGTTAACAACGAGTGACATGCCAGAAACTCCTTTTAGTCTAACAGGGAGGAGTCTAACGGACGGATTACAGTGGGCCGAGTAGGTGAAGGGGGCGGTCTTCGACTGGAGAGAGAGAGAGAAGAAACAATGAGCACAAACACTGAGCACAGATCCTGAGCACAAACACTGAGCACTAACACTGAGCACAAACACTGAGCACAAGCACTGAGCACAGACCCTGAGCACAGACCCTGAGCACAAGCACTAAGCACAGACCTGGAGCACAAACCCACACCTCTGGCTGTTGTGACATGGACAAGCACGTGCTTGTACACACAACAATCCTATTGCCATGCACCCCGAAGCCAGACAGCCCTGAGCATGCACAGGAAGGAAGGAGGAAATGGGTTTTGCCATTTCTGCCATGCTTTACCCTCTCACCCATCACTGTGCACAGCCTGGGGGCTCTGCACACACTGCTGCCTTCTGGTGCCACAAACCAGCAGGGCAGGGTGGTTATTCCCTGGTTTCAGGGCTCAGTCCCAGCCTGCAGCAGCTTCAGATCTGCCTTGCAGGAGCAGGAAAATCAGCTTCTGGCATACCTGGGCAAACTGTAGCCCTATCAAAAGGCCTGAATCTGAGGCACATTTTGAGGCTTTAAATCAACAGTCTTGAAAATGCCAACTGTGGCCAGGGCTGCTGGATTCATTAATTTACCATGAATGCATTTCTCTATCAACTTCAGGAAGTGCTACATAGTCACAGATTTTTTGGGAAGACTTAGGTGTCTTCATTCAATTTTCCTGTGTACTGAAAACCTCTGCATTTTAATTTGGACTCTGTCATTCTCTAATAACAGACCCCAGAGCAAGAGTGAGCAGCAGTGATCTCCAAGCACATCCTACCTGCAGTCCAGGCCGGCATTTATCCCTCCCTCCCTTCCCCAAGGACAACACCCAGCTCTGCTGGAGCTGTAGACAGAGTCCCCCTGGTAGCTGTGTAACACTTTACCTGTTTGTGTGCAGGAAGGTCCCCCTCAGGGCTGTGTGGAGGTCATTCCCTCAGCTCAGTTACATAGAGTATTTTGTTGCTGCTCTGGTGCTGCATTTATCCCAGTGCATGTCCTACACGCTGGTTTTGCTCCCTTTCTTTAGCAGGAAGTACCAGCTACTCACTCTCTCTCTATTCCTTAACCCAGCCCAGATCACCAGGAGAGCCCATGGCTCATCCAAGCTCTGAGCAAGGTGGGAGCTGAGGCTCCCATCAGCTCCAGCAGAGCTCATTAATAATTTTTAAATAATAACAAAAAATTAATAATTTGCCCCAACAAATGTGCAGCCCTTCCTAACCCATCCTCCACCTGTGCAAGTAGGGACTTTGTGCCCCTACAAGTTGTGGCTCTGAAGAAGATTAGGAAGGAAATGTGTCTCATTCTGCTAAAGCTAAACTGAAGATGAAAAGAATGCAACAATGTGCTAATTTTCTTTGAACTGGAACAAAATATGTGAGACAAATTTACACTTGACAAAAAAAAAATCTCGTTTGGCTCAAAGTGCATCTTGTGTGACAATATTCTCTTTTGGTGAAAAAACGAGAATTTTAATCCCTACCATGCAACCAATAGAAAATATGCCAACTAAAGCATTCAAGTAAATCAACAAACTAAAAAAAAATAGGCAAAATATAATTTCTTCATGGTGTATTTTTCTTACAGGAAAAATGTTACTGTGTTAACTATTGTTTCTTGTGTTGCTCCAGTGTAGGTCTTCTGGACTCATTTCCAAAATTTGTAGTTTCATAAAGAACCACTTCTAAGGCTCTGCATTTCTGCTGGGTTGCATTAAATTATTCCTTTGTTGAAATGCCTCACATTGCATTGTTTAGCGCTTACTGAAAACATTGTATCATATGTATGCAATTGACAAACAAGGGAAAATGCATACAGCTGTCTTCATATCAAATTTAAAAGCCCAAACATGCATTTTAATACCAGGTTAAATGCAGCCCACTGGATTCAAATAATGCAATTTAGCCAAATCGCCATTTAACACAGCAGGATCAGAAACTGGAGAGCACAGTGGGAGGATTTCCTGGATGCAATCAGTCAAACCAAACCTGAGCCACAATCAGGCCCCGTTTCCCCCTTGAACCAGCGCTGTCTCTGCACCCTGGCCTAGTTTGAATTTCCACTCAAGCCCAGTGCAGCCCTGAAGGGAAGAACTCCCCATTAGCTCTTCCCCACTGCAGAATGCCAAATGCTTTGGGAGAAGCTGATTCCCCCGAGAGGATGCTCTGATGAGGAGCTGCTGCTGAGCCACCCATCCTTGTCCCTGTGGCATTGCCCTACAGACAGGAGTGCTCAGAGCAGGGAGCTCTGACCCGGGGAGCTCTGTCCCACCTGTGGATGCTCTGACCTGTCTGTGGATGCTCTGACCTGTCTGTGGGTGCTCTGACCCATCTGTGGATGCTCTGTCCTGTCTGTGGATGCTCTGTCCTGTCTGTGGGTGCTCTGACCTGTCTGTGGGTGCTCTGTCCCACCTGTGGGTGCTCTGACCCGTCTGTGGATGATCTGACCTGTCTGTGGGTGCTCTGACCTGTCTATGGGTGCTCTGTCCCACCTGTGGATGCTCTGACCCATCTGTGGATGCTCTGACCTGTCTGTGGAAGCTCTGACCCATCTGTGGATGCTCCCACATGTGTCTGGGATGCTGTGACACAAACACCCGTGTGTCCCCCCGCTGGGCATGGGCAGCACATCCGTGAGGAGCAGGCAGAGCCCTCCTCAGCTCCAGCCCCTCAAGGGTGCTGCCTGCCTGCCATGCACCTCCAGCTCCTTAACCCCCACACAAACTGGGGCAGCAGGACCTGCAGAGCCTCCTAGAGGAGGGCAATGTTTGGGAAAGGCAGCGCTGGGGAAAAGAGCTGCAGCAGCACCAGCAGCAGCATGTCCCTGCAGCCCTGCTGCTGACAGGCTCCTGGGGTACCTGCAGCAGTGCAGAAAGGGGCACCGTGCCCCCGAGGCCCTGGGCAGAGCACAGGGGCTCAGCCGGGAGAACAGACAGGGGGTTCTGTTCCTTTTCCCCCCCTTCCTTTGCCACTGGCACTCAGCATCAGCTGGAGCTCGAGTGTGAGTGAAGGAAAAGTACAAGCCCTGAAGTTGCCTGTCCTAGACTTCCCTGTCAAGGTGACAAATCATTCTGTGACCATTTCTACACTGGGAGTAGCACTCAGACCTTTTTCACCCCCTAACAAGAATTTCAACCCCAAAAACAAGAGGCGAGGCTGTGTCTCTCGTCTCTCCCTGGCTCCTTCCTGGCCGGAGCAGAGGCCGGGAGCCCCGGGAGCGGTGCAGGATCCTGGGCCACACAGAGACAACAGAGCCGGCATCAACTCCGGGGCAGCTCTGCCGAGCACAGCCCTGAGGCAGCCGAGCGCGGGCCCGGCCCCATGGCCCCCGAGCCCAGGCCCCTCACGGAGCCGCGGCCCCCGGGCAGGCCGGGGAGGAGCGGGGCCTGCAGGGCGGCAGGGGGAGCTGCAGCCTGCCCGCGGCCCGGCCGGGGGACAGCGGGCACAAACAGCCTCCCCCGCAGCCCTGCTGCCATCCCAGTGAGTAAATATGTGACTAAGGCCGCTTCAATGTTTAGTCTGAGGCCAGCGGGTGATAGCGGCGCAGACGGCGCGGGCCGGGTCTGTCCCGGTTATCGCAGCCGGGCAGCGGCTCCGGCCCCGGAGAAAGCTCCGAGGGAAGCGGCGCTGCTGCGGGAAACCCTTCTGGCTGTTGTCGGCAACATTTCAGCTGCCTTTTCAGGCCGTGTCCCGCCTAACTCACTCTCTTGTCTTTGGGGTTGTTGTTATTTTGCTGCCCCTTTTTTTTTTTTTTTTTAACTGTTTGTTGGGCAGGAGATCATCGGTCCCCCCGGGGCTGAGTAAACGAGTCTGCAAAAAGAATCAGTTCTTCTAACTAGCACACATTAAGCAGACATAAAGAATTTACCAATGAAAATTGTGGACTAAGTATGTATTTAATAACTCCCTGATGTTGCTGCAGAGACTTCTCCTTTGAAGAGCTCAGTGGGGTTTTGAATGGAGGGGAGCTCTTACCCCCGTGCAAAAACTTTTTAAAAAAGGAAAAGTTTTTACATTTATTTTTAACCTTAGCAGCACCCCCCTCCTCCCCCCCTCCATGTTTCCAGTTTTAAAAGAACTCCTAAAAGCTTTAGCTAGGCAAATGCCGAGCAAAAGAAACTAAATAAGGCAAGTCTAGACTTAAAATTAGATCAGAAACATATGGGAGTTCTTCGAGCCTTTGCCTTTTGAGAAGCCCTATCGCTCCCCACACGGAGTGCACAAAATGTGCTTTCAGTAAAGCATGGCTGTAATTACCATGGGAGGCCCCGCTCGAAGATGGCTTCTCACAGCACAGCCAGAGGACTTCGAAATAAAAGCCTTTCATTTCCACTTAGATTTGACGTTCTTGCTTGCTTGTAACCACCAGAGAACACTTGTGGAAGGCATGCACAGAACTCTATTTTATGATACATCCTACAGATCTGAAGCTGTGAACAGAAGCCCATTATTCTCTCCCTTTTCCATCATGTTGGTTTCCCTATAACGCAGCCCTCTTGGAGTACCCCGATACGTGACATCGTCTTTGTAGAATTTAACAAGAAAATACTTCAAATCTCTAAGCAGCTTTAAGACTGACTGCAGGCAAATTTGTTTTAGGTGACAGAACAAACCTGGAATGTGAGGCATATGGTCAGAGTGCAGTGACTTACTGCAGGTGAGGAATAAATCTGGTTTCCTATTTGGGTGATTATTTACAGAACTAAGTAGCTTAGTCCTGAGAAAGTTATAATGCTTTGACTGATTTTATTTTTGTACTATTTCTCTGGTTTTCTCTGTTTCAGTAAGATCCTGAGAGACCAACATCCTCTATTACTGGTTCTTGTATCAACCTAACTTTTATATGGCATCTCTTGACCTTCATCAGCCTCAGGATTTGGAGGACAATCCAGAAGTGGAAGTACTGTATCCATCATGCTTCAAAAACAGAGGCAAAACAGTTTCTAGACCTAATTAGTCTTCAGTCTGTGCAGGCTTAAACTCTGTCCTACAGCAGA